GGGGGGGGGGCACAGGGCCTGCCGAGCCCACTCTCATTAGCGAGTTAATTCGTTAACGGGAGCCACTGGGACTCCCCCGGCCTCTGCCCACTGCGGAAGTGCCTCCCCGAGCGCCCCCACCCAGGCACACGGGTCGGTATCCTTCACAGCTAGGATTAATAACGTCACCCTCCCTGCGTGTTTATTAACAACAGGAATAATTAATGGTGGGGATGGCGATTCCAGGTAGCCAGAGCATGTGCTGCAGCACCTGGAGCGGCCCCCGCTGGATGCAGCAGCCCTGCAAAGGAAGGTGAAGAGCAAGGTGATTAATGTTCATTAATTATCCTTGAGCAGGGTCAGGAGTGCCTGTCACCCTTGAAAAGACAGCAGGGGTCAGCTGGTGTTGCACAGCAGTTTTCAGCTCTCCCAGGTTCCTGGGCCTTTTGAAAGAAAGGGTCTTCCCCATGTAAAAGCAGGCCCTGCTTGCAGCGGATTTAAGGCTGGCTTTTCATGTGGACACTTCGGTGCAATCAGTTCCCCATCCAGGGCTCCACAAAGCAGGGGCTGAAAAGTCTTCTCACGTGTGTGCGTGCGCACACATACATGCACACCGCCAGAAAGGAACACTTCATAATAACTGAGTCATTGTTGCCATCCACAGGAGCCTGGAGTACTGGCAGCACAGAATGATCCTGATCCAAAATGGCAAAGCTGCTCCCCACAGACAGTGCAGCAGGAAAATATGAGCAGAGTGTTGTTATTCGTTCTTACAGTATTTTCCACTCTACAGAAGATTGAAATGTTTGAGGAAATTTCTCCTTCAAAATTAAAAGATAAATAAATTGTAAGAAGTTCATCATCTGCCTAGAATGCTTTGTACAGGTATCACTTACCCACCACGGACTGCATCTCCTCTTGCATAGTGGTGTAGGAAAATGAATTTCAGCGTATAATGAGGTTACCATAGCAGACAAGCCTTTAGACAGCACTTACGTCCTGTTCCAGAAGGTCATCGTGCCTGTATAATCTCAAGCATTCAAGTATTCATAGGACTAAATCACCAGCTCTGGAAGCCTTGTATTCTACAGGTTCAGAGCTGCTGTCTGAGGAGCTATCTGGTCCATTTACATGAGTTTTAATACAACCTGGAACTCAGGTTCTATTAGTTCCAGAAGAAGGCAAAAGTTTTATCAGCGTTTATAACAAGTGAATCAGATGGCCCAAGTAATTAGAATATTTCTCAGCCTAAGTTTTTGCTCAGGGAAAATAACAGCACATCTGGTATGGGGCTTAAGTAGTCAATTGAAAGGGAGGTAATCTAATGAACATCACTTTACATGAGTTTATGGAAAATTGGCATGAACACAGTTTTGTATCAAATTAACTTGGTATCTTTTTGATGACATTAAACGTAAGTAAATATAATTCACTTTTTTGTAATCAATTGACAATGTTCAAAACGTTAAATACATTAAAAGCTGAATAACTTCTCTGTCTTAAATTGTTATTGCAAATACAGATTTATTATCAAGTTGGTCTTTTTCAGTAGGTCCCACAGAGGCAGTTTGTTGACCATACACAATTTAATATTTGTGTTAGTGACCTAAAAAAAAATCTGAAATTGTTATTGGCAAAGCTTTGTAGGAGGCATAAAGGCTGAGGGAAGAGTAAATCATGCAGAGGGTGCTCATGGCTGCAGAACTCCATGTTAAGTTTAGACATAATCAGATTGTATGTATTTCAGTCAAGCCAAACGTAAAGTCTCACATCTAGGAACAAAGAATGTAGGTCACACTGAAAGGATGTAACTCTATCCTGCAAAGCTGCAATTCCGTAAAGTCTTCATTAAGATGAATAATTCAGTTGAACGTGAGCTCCTTCTGCAGTGCTGTGACCAAAGGGCTAGTGCTGTCTTGGGAAACAAACAAGAGCTGGGAGGTTCTTTTACCTCTGGTTTTGACTCTGTTGTGACTGCTTTGGAAATAATTTGTCCTGCCAACATTTCAAGAAGGACGTTGAAAAACTAGAGGGGTTTCAAAGAAGAGTAGCGAGAACGATTACCGGACTGTCAAACATGTTTTATAGTGAGACCCAAGCACTCAGTCTATTTAGCTTTCTAAAGGGAAGGTTAAGGTGCGAGTTGATCTTACCTTATGAGCACTTAAACAGGAGAAGAAAAGATCTGGTAATAGCAGGCTCTTCAGTCTACCAGACAAAGAGATAAGAGCTATGGACAGAAGGTGATGGGAAACATACTCATAAATGAAGCACATTTCTGTAGTGAAGAAAATTGCCTGTTCAAACAGCTTATCAAGGTTGGTGGTAGTTCACCATTACTGGGTTTTTTTAAAACAATATCAGCTTTTTTTCCCCCTCAAAGATACAGTCTGGCTGTATCTTTATCTGGCTGTATCATTAGGGTAAGATCCCAGTGTACAACAGCCTTCAGTTTGTGCCAGTGCCCCTTCACCAAGGAAACTACTTAGTGCACTCTAAAAGGAGCCTGGCTGCAAAGTAACATGTCGTGTGGCCCACTCGGAGACCAAGACCAAAGCGTGGACAAGTGCGGCTGTAGAAGTGGGCCCTTAGCGCCTTGCGATCTGTGACCCAAGGGATAAAGAACTATGAAAGATTTCAAGCAGATGAAACATCTATTTGCATGCAGTAACTGTGGAAAGGACCAGATGTGATCCAGACAGGAGGCACAAACAGCAGTATGAAGAAAACAATGAGATACCTTGCTCTTAAATATAAGCTTTGTTTTCTAGTGCAGCTAATTGCCTGACAAGGTACTAGCAATTATTAATCTTTGGCCAAAACCCGGATATTGCCATCAATTATTTTATTTGTTTTTGAGAGAAATGGACCTGCAACTGCATACATTTATTCTTAGGCATGGTTTCAGCTACTGCAACTACTATGGGGCTATCAAAGCTGCCCATCACACAGCCCTCCTCACCGTCAGAAGTTTTATTACTGTCACACTGGTTACAGTGGTAAGCAGTGAATGTTCAGAGCCTCAGAGGAAAGGACCCAGTGGTACTAGTCATCTCAGGAGTGGAAAAGGAAGTACACATGTAGGTGTCTGCAGGCGCAGAAACCAAGGAAGGTTCAGAACCTTTACTAAAATTGTACATGTAGCATGATTATTTTCATTGTGTTTTTTTACTCTAATAAAGGATTCAGTGCAGGTGCTTAGTGCAGTATAATCATATAATCAATAGTATTTTCTACTTCAAAAATCTTGTAGTCAAAAATCCCAATTTTATCATAGCTCTTGGCTGCTCTGAACCTCTTGAAAATAGAGTAGGATTCTGTGCTGAAGTCACAGATCATTCTAGCCTCTGTAGCTAAATCTAGGATCTGTAAGCTAAAAATGGGGGCTTGCACCCATAAAATACTTAAACAGCGTAAGTCAATGAAGTGCAGCTCGGAAGAAATACCATTTCAATACCTGCCTGTCATTTTTGTGCTGTCTTCAAGGGGTTTTATTCCTCCTTGCAGTGCCCTCAAATACACCTTTTCAGCTAAAGACACAATCATGTGGACAGCTCTTTGTTTTGTTTTTCCTTCCAACCAACGCTTTTGTGTATTTCTGAAACTTAAGACACCTCCTCTGCTACTACAGTACTTATCTGTAACACCATCGCTTTGAGGGATTAAAGCAGGTTACTTGTTACACACTTAGATCAAGAGTTATCTGAGTAGAAAGTCTATCCCGTTAGGGTTGGCGGAATCTGTTTTTGATCTTGAGTTGTTTTGATTTTCTCTGAGAGCAAGTAACATGTTATTTTAACTTCTGAATAAGGTGTGCTACCTGACTGTGACTCTTCTGTTTGGCAGAAAGGATTAGAAACCTCCACGGAACTTGCACTCTATTAAAGCAGAGTGCTCGCCATTGAGAACCAAGGAGCTGAATTGTTTTCAGATTATATATATATGTGTGTGTGTGTGTGTGTGTGTGTGTCTTTCCCACATCAAAGACTTTGATGGAAGCTGTTCACGCTATTGTCAGGAATGCAGGGACTGGCACAAAGGTGATTAACAAAATTGCTTTTCTGCAGGAGAAGCACAAAAATTATCAAAGGATTAAAGAGGATAAAATTGAAAGGTTATGCTGAATTTGGGGTAAATTTTTCCCTTCTTTTCCAAATTATTCATTTTGATATGATCTTGCCTATAGAAGGTATGCCAGAAGAAATCAGAATTAGAAGATATTTGGTATGAGTTCTGTTGAAGGACAAGAAAAAAACTTCCCTTAAAAATAATGCCAGCAGGCCCTATTCTGTGTGCTTCCAGACCACATCTGTAAAGAGTTTTTAGTAAGAGCTGAGGGCACCCAGCCAGCAGCCATTCCCACAAGGTTCTCAGCAGTCACAGGATCAGGACCTTTCTTCATAATGATGCCAAAGATTCTGAAAACAAACCATTTCTTAAATCAGTTTATCATCAGTGATGCCATTGGCTTACCTTTCTCACTACACTCAGCTGACAAAGCTACTAAACTAAGGGGATCGTTTTCATTATCCACTTGCTAGGCACGTGCAGTGGTTTCCTATTTTGATCAGCAGCTGAGCTGCTTGAGTGGTTTAAGAACAAAACAATAACAAATGGATTGACAAATATTTTAGTGTAACAAAACTAACAGGCCAGCTTCTGGAAGCTGTCTCATTTGGAAAACTGCAGTGTAATAAAAATGTATCAGTTCCCATAGCCAGCACAATTGTCTCATCTTGCTGTTTTAGACTCCATTTATTGTTCATTTTATTTTGACTTTTCCTCTATTACCTACTAAGTACTGGCCCTATCCCTATTCCTTGGCTTTGGCTTTTGAGTTTTGTTTGTTTGCTTGTTTTGCTAATCTGTTATTTTCTGGAAGTCATCCGGATGATTTTATGTGTTTTTAACCTCATTTATCAAAGTATTATCTAAAGCATCTGTTCAGAAAAATGTTCATTTTAACTGTTTTCTCAACAATGACCTTCTTCCTCCCCCCCAGGCCACATCAAGTTGTCACTCACCGGACAGCTGTGGAATTTGGAATCATTCCTTTTAAACACTTTACAGTTCCAAATGGTAGATTTCTAATGGCACAATATGATTGCCACAAAGATCTTTAAATTTCCCAATCCTCCAGGCTTCAAAGGCTGGACCGTCCTTGATCTCCTGAAGGAATGCTTTTGAATCTTGTGCTTTTATAGGGACTACCTATGAAGATATTTTAGGGGCTTTTCCCTTTTATACTCAGAGCCTGAGGAACTAAACATTCAAGTTCCCGCTGACTTCTTTGAGAGGAAGATCAAGACTTACAAAGTTATTTCTAGAGATTTTCAGCTGAGTTTTCATTATTTCCCCAGGTTGTTCCAAAACATTTTGGTGGGGTTCGAAAGCAATGTAAGAGTATCCTCAGAGTAGCAGTAGTTATGGTACTCATTTTATCCTGCATCTGCCTTCCACCTACATGGCTACTTCAAACAGTCCCTGGCCTGTCCATGAACAAGTCCCACAGTGTCCTAACTCCTCATGTGCCCATGGGCACAATGGAGTCCTTTGCTCTAGAGGATGCACTAGATGAAGTGGAGCTTCATATCTGAAGCTTCACTTACAAGATAATAGTATGGAAAGTAAGCAAGCCTAGTTGTGCTGGTAGTTTTGTGTCTGTCTTGACCAGGCAACCAAGACATAGCCTAATTATCTGTACCAGTTATGAATTCACAGACCCAGAATTACAAGCGTTCTAGGCTTGCTTCATCTCTCTTCCCCTGCAGTGGAGGCAACATTTCACTAGTAGTCCTGTCTTGCACGGTAGAAAAAAGTAGACTTGAAAAAGTAGACTTCTTTCAATCAGGAAACTGACATTTTCTGTTTCTCACTGGTTAATTCTGTCTTCCCTTATCACTGAAACTTCAAATGGCTGAATTCTGTGTTAAGATTTATAGCATAGCCAAGCCATAAAGCGGATTCTGCCCTCAACACCAGCCTCTTCCAGGACATATGGTTTGAGAGTGAGATGGGAGTATTCAGGGGGTCTCTTATTAGTGAGGCACACATATATAATCAACAAGTAAAGAATGTACAGAATAAGTTATCCCTCTGTCCATACACTTAGGACTCTGGTCCTGCAATAGGCTACCACATGAGCCTGAGGGCCCACCTAGCAGATTCATGTGCAGGTTTGGGGCCTTTGGTTGCAAATTCCTTGGGACTAAGTACTGTCTCTTCTATATTGCTACAGTACCTCATGTGACAACATGACCTGCTCATGTGACAACATGACATGAGTCTGTGATTGCAGACTCTCAGGTATTATTCTAAATAGTAACTAATGATCAGTCACTGCAGTAAGAGTATGTTTAGATATCCCATATTGCTAATTCATGTGATTTTTAAGTAGGCCTCAGCCTAACCTCAGCTTTTGTGACAACAACAAACTGCAGGAACAACTAATTACTAACCCAGTTTATGGGTCAGAGAACAGGCCTTAGATCC